GTCTCACAGGTGTGCGTCCAGGAGTGGAACTGCTCACGTATTGCTTACTCTGTGTTTAGCCTTTTGGAGCCGCCAGGCTGCTTTTACTCCCTGCTCATTGCCATCATGCACGTCTCCTCCACTGGCTGTTTTTGCAAAAGCGACTTTGCTTCCTCAATCAAGGCAGTTGACATTGGAAAGCAAGCGCCGTGCACAGCAGTTTTAAGCTGAACTGCTGTCTTTTTTTTTTTTTTAAGATACTATTTATTTATTTGAGAGAGAGAATGAGAGACAGAGAGCACGAGAGGGAAGAGGGTCAGAGGGAGAAGCAGACTCCCGCTGAGCAGGGAGCCCGATGTGGGACTCGATCCCGGGACTCTAGGATCATGACCCGAGCCGAAGGCAGTTGCCCAACCAACTGAGCCACCCAGGCGCCCTGATGAACTGCTGTCTTAACCGCCTCTTGGTGGCACAGCCTGGCTCGCCATCTCGTTCCCAGCCCTGCGCACGGCTGTCGTCTTACTTACAGCCCTCAGGCACAGCGCTTCATTGTTACTGTGTGCATCACTGCAGGGGAGAAACCTCACAGAGATGCCATGTTGACTGTGTCTGGGTGTATCTGACGGTAGAATCTGGAACTAACTTCATGGTAGGGGAAAGGCTGGCCATCGTCTTTTTGTAGGAGTTCCCCTAAGAGATTCTTCGGGGGGCCTCACCATTGAGAACCATCACCTTGGGAATAAATACACGGGGCTCTCCTGTTGCCTGCTGCAGCACCTTCAGTTTCTTAACCTTGATTACTGAAGATTTGTTTATATTACAGCACAACTGGGATACTGAGACTTTGGTTTTCCAGCATATTCACTATTGCTTTGCCAGATTTTTCTTAAAAACTCCCTGCCATCACTCAGATGTTGAACGTTTGCACGCTTGCTGCATGCCTTGCACTCTGCCTGCCTCTGTCCCATCCAATGACTTTGAAAGATCTTTAATGAAATCGATTTTCAAAAATGAAACCTCTCTGCTAACAGTTGTGGTTCTGGTCCCTGAGTATTAAAGTGAGTTTTCAACACAAAGCCTCAGGCAGCCTGTGTTCTTCTGGTCTCTCTGGTCAGAGGCCAGCACTGAGGGAACCTTTGAGGAAAGCATCTATTTGAGGGAGCGGACGGACGGGCAGGAGCCTCGCTGCTGGCCCACCTCGCATCTCCAGGCTGATGTGCTACGCTTTGGCATCTTTGTCCCTTACCCTTGGAAGGGGCCTCGGAGTTCGTCCGACCTCATTTTCTGTGCAGAGCTGGGGTTCCGTTTCACATCCCACCTGAGGGGAGGTGGTTTGGCCTTTGGACGTTCTGACCACGGTGAGCTGCTTCATCTTGAAACAGTCTTGCAGCGCCTGAGAGGAATGCAGAGTCTCAGGCCCCTCCTGACCTTCTCAGTCAGAACCTGCACTTTAGAAACTGTGGAAGCCTTGTGCACGTGGAAGTTGGGAGACCGAGTCATGCCAGTGAGAGGGCTAGCGCTCAGAGCTGGGGCGTCAGCTGCTTGCATCCCAGGCTGGCACTGTCTCCCCGCGTGTGCAGCCCCTGTCGGACCACATCACTTTCCTGGAGGCACCCCAGACTGGAGCATGTGCCTCATGCCTAGGAACGTGCTCCAGAGTCCGATTTCATTCATGCTCACGGCTCGGTCAATCCTGTGTTAGATCCGGTGAAATACTGTGCTGGTTGTGTAGTGTGTCACTGAGAACGCAGACATTTTACTTTGAAGTAGGGGTGCCGTTTTTGTCCAGTTAATCCTGATTTCACTAAAACTTGGTGAAATGGTCAGATTTTTCAGACACCCATTAGGTGCCTGTGTCATATAAGGTGCTGTTCGAAGTCCAGAGGGTACGGCAGCGAACAAAACAGACAAAAAGTCCCTACTTTATTGAGCTTTGAGGGGGCCTAAGAAGGTCACACAAGCGTAGACGTGACATCTGTGAGGGGTCCGTGCAGATGCGTATGGGGTCTGGGGGGCCCTCCAGGCAGATCCTGGCTGCCAGGCCCACCCCGGTGGCCACAGTGGGTTGAGTGGAGGGGAGAAGTGAGAGGTGACAGGTCCCCTGCAGGTCGTGGCAGAGGCTGTCTGGAGGTGGGACGGTGATCAGCTGGTCCCGGGGGCACAGGAAGTGTCCATTGAGTGAGAAAGCGAGGTGCTCACAGGACAGAAGACTTGGAACTTCATGGAAGCGGCTGAGTCGGGCTGGTTGTTGGAGAGCATCTTCGTGTTGCCCTTCCAGCCGTAGCAGGAGGCGACATTTGGAACTGATCAAGTCTTTTATTCTCGTGTCCATCAGGCTCATGACTGGAGCGCCGCTTGTGAGCGTGAGTCAGAGAGCATCTGAGTTGAACTGCGGAGGTCACATGGGGCAAATTAACTTAACCAAAAATAACCCCAAACACAGCATTTCTGGGAAATGCAGGGGAAGAGAGCTTTCAATGTAAACAAAGGAGCAAAGTCAAGATAAAGGCTTGGTTGGAAAAAGTGAGCATTTGGAAAACTAGGAAGAGACACTCTGGTAAAACACAGTGAGGCAAACAAGTATTTCTTTTCTGCTGATTATAATTTTAAAGAGTTTTCTTTTCCATGTTTGTGTTGTCGGCATGGCATGTGCTTCCATAGTGTGACTCTTAGGCTTTCCCCTTCTCCTGGGAACGGTGGCGCATGGACCTACACCCTTACCTATCCTGTCAGCCCATGGAAGGAGCTTCCTGTCCCCCCGGGTGACACCTGGTCCTCACAGGGGCTGACCAGACAACAGGCCTCCTGTGCTTTGCACTCTGGCTGAGGGGCCCAGTGCACAGGACAAAAGAACACCATGACCAGTGTCCAGGCCCCACTCCAGAAATTCTGATTGGGTGGGGGTGGGAGACACACGTTCTTGCTGGGCCTTGGGGGTTCCCCACGCCTCGAGGTTGAGAACCACCTATCCAGTGCAGTTGTCTGTACCTACCAGGCTGTGCTCGAGGCAAGCATCCTGGCTGGGCTGTGTTCTCTCCCTGCCCCTGCTTCGACCCTTCCAGAGGCAAGAGTCCGGAGGCTGGTTTTCTGTTTAGGGTGCTTTCGGGTGGGCATGGGTGTGCACATCTGCGTGTGCGGGTTCATCACTAGCAAGGTTGGCACTTCTGTGGTTGGTTGTCCGGACAACTCAGCCTCACCCTTTTGCAGTTGAGGACTTAGACATACTTCCCAAGGGAGCCCGGAGGACATGGAGGCTCGTGTGAGCCAGGCCAGAGCTGATGGCATCTGCTGTGGTTAGGTTTATTACAAGAGTTAAAAATGTTAATCTCCTAAGTTGTTTCCCAAAGTGATATTTACTGTTTGGAACTAAAAGTCTTGCCCTTTCATTAATTACTTGTAGGTGTTGGTTCTTTTATCTTATTTAATAGGAAAGAAGTTCGTTCCTGGAATACTCTGATCATTGGATGACACTTTGCTGAATCTGAGGGAAATAATCCATTTTTGTTAAATGACAAATATAAGTAATTTAAATTTTAACTGTCTTGATAATATCTTGGTAGTGTTATCCAAAAAACTGACTTTTTAGAGGAGTCTTGGTGGCTAGGATTTATTTCCTTGGGCTCTGTGAACTTCCACATTCTGCTACACTGTGCTGGGGGCATATGCGGAGGCCTCCCTGCAGTGGCTTTGACGTGGGTGGGTGGGAGGGGAGAGGGCTTGCTGGGTACCCGGCATGCGCAGTCTGTCCGGAACATAGTGGCTGTCGCCGTGCTGCAGGCGTGGGGGCATCTCTGGCCTCTCCTGCTGGCCCTCTGCCTGCTCTGGGCTCCCAGGCTCCTCCGATGGGCCCCGCCCCCTGCCTTCCAGCGAGTGACGCTGACTAATGAAAACCAAGGGCCAGCCAGGCGTGCGTCTGGTCGACTCCACATCAGGATGGAGACCAGTGGTCAAAACCTTGCCCCTTCTTTGTATGTGTAGCATAGTGTTTCTCACCCTTTAAAACTCACACGTGTCTTGATAAACTAAAATCTTGACTCTCCTTTGAAATTTTGCTATATATTAAATTGTGACTCTGAGGAAGTCAAATCATTGGTCACTTTCATTCTTCTCAAGCCTACAAGGACTCAATAAATTTTGGCTGTGAACTTTTTAGGTACTGGTCCTTGATAAGGGGGAAAAATGAAAGTGCTTGCCCCCACCGCAGGCGCCCCGGGGGCTCTCCTCTCTTCTCCGATGTCACTGCGGTTCACCATGTGCCGTCTCCTCCCGGCTCTCCTCCCGCCTCTGGCTGTGTGTTTGCACAGACACGCTGGCGGCAGGCAGAGAGCAGGAGGACGGGAAGCCCGCGTGAACTTGGTGGGGTTCTGAAGGGCTGCTGTCGCAGGGGCCGGGCACCCGCCCACCTTCGTCTGGTCGGGGCTGTATGCTCAGCTGTTTCGGAGGCTGTCTGCTTTGCACTCTTACAGAAGCTGCTGCTGTGAGCGCCATCCCCCCCCTTTTCTCACGTGTAACTTCGTGTGATGAATTCCTAGAAGTGAGATTGTAGGGTAACGTTAGCCTGTGTACCCCATGTAGATCCAGTTGTAGTCTCTTCTTGACTGTTCTTTTTAGAGCATTTGTGACTTCTTCAAGATTTATAGGACAGCGTCAGGTCCAGCTGTGTAATTAATTTTATAGGGAACTCTATGATTTGAACAAACAAAATACAAAGTTTTACCGCAGAGGGGGGTATGTAGCTCGCGGAAGCTCGGCTGAGCCCGTGCAGGCGCACGAAGCAGCGGCACAGCCGAGCTCCCACGTGCATGCGCACTTAACCTGGCTGGTTTTAAGTTTCAGTGGTGAGGAGGAAATGGGTGCAGGAAGTGCTCATTGTTACGGTATTGTATAAGTAGTGTTTTATATAAAATTTTTACATGAAAATTGAAACTACAATAAATATCAGTGGCTTTAAGGTAACAGTAAAAATCATTCCACATGGACCAGATGGAAGAAAATAAGATGATTTTTTTTTGTCCTCCCAGGTGACTCCAAGAACTGAGGCCCCCGTCAGCAGCGTGAGTAATAGTTTGGAGAATGCACTACATACATCGGCACATTCCACGGAGGAGTTGCTACCCAAGAGGACTGTGGGGAAACACTCCAAAGGTGAGTCCATCTGTGGGAGGGCTCCAAGGGAGAGAGGTGCACCAGGGTGTGGAAAGCAGGTCTTCGTGATGCTCTGTGGTTAAATACTTTGAGATCTTTCATCAGCTGTGGTCTTTTGTATGGTATGCTATTTTTCTAAATTGTACAAGTAATATATGAACATATGTTGGCTGTAAAAGTCTTAAATACTGATGTTTATTAAGGGAAAAAATGAAAGTTGTTGCACTCTCCTCCCTGCCCCATACCAAATACGTCCTAAATTCTAGAGAAGGACTATCCTGTAGAACTTTCTGCAGAGATAATGGAATGTTCTCTCTCTGCACTAACTCAGGTGCCATCAGCCACATGTACCTTTTGAGCACTTGAAATGAGCCTCATGCAACCAAGGACCTGAAATTTTATATTTATTTCCTTTGCATTGGAACTGCGATAGGTCCGCGTGGATAGGGGCCACCATATTGGACAGCACCGCTCTGGAGATGGCAGAGGGTACATCTCAGATGAAGTTGAGTCTTCTTGGTTCTTGGGTCGGCTGGACAGTCAAAGTGTCTCACTTAACCATACAGTTGTAGTCTGAGTGGTGGTGTGGGGACTTCCCAGGAGGCGAGTGCAGGTGACATGTGGGACTCGTGAGGGCCAGGATGGGCCCAACTTGGCCCTGTGATCAAGAGGCCCAGGGCACTCAAGGCTACCCACCTCCTCCCTCACTGGCCTTTGTTCTCCTTTTGTTCATGTCTCAGGCACAGTGTACCTCACGGATGCTTCATAAATACTTCGTTTTTAAAATAAAGCCCCATTCTGAGAATCACAGAGCCAGCTGTCCCTGACTTAGGTCATAGGCTGGAAGTAGACAAATTCTAACTGCTGCCCTGTGTTTATGTGCATAAACGCGTACTGGTACTAAAACTGTGAATCCTCGTAGGTCAGCTCCTAGATGGGGCCGTTGTTGAGAAGATGCAGCAGGGCTTCACCTCCCTGGATGAATAGTTGTCACTCAGGCATAGGGACTTTTCTACCCTGACACTGCCCTTGTCCTTTTTCCTTAGACATGTCACCCTGGGAGAAGTGCCTTCCAGTGAGGTGTTGTGTCCTTTGTCCCTCGACTGTCCAGCATGGGCCCTCTGCCCTGCACCCTCCTTATGTGGGGGGACGGCCTCCTCTTTTCTTTCCCATAGTGCTTTTTCCTTGAGACATAATTATCAAGATCCTCATTCCTATCTTTTAAATATAATTGCAAGATACGTGACTGTTCTCTCTCCGTCCCTTGTCCGTGTGTGGTGGTGCTGAGAGTCCCAGGGGAGCCGGCTTTGGTATCAGGTGCAGCAAACGAAGCATAGTGAGCCAGGTGTTGTTAGTTGTCCACTGTGTTCTCCATTCAGTGGTTCTAAGTAAGCAGTTTCTTCTGCCCAGAATTTGGCAAGCAAGCGAAGTTGGTTTTCTTCGTCACGCTTCTCGTGATGCTCTGCTGGGCCTGGGCGGTTACTCTTGGCAAAGCCTAAAGTCACTGCAAGTGTTATTACTATAGAGTTTTCTCGCTGTCTTTTCTGTATTCTACTTGTATCTTGATTTTTCTCTGCTTCCTTGGAAGTCCTCAGCGATAAAAGAGGTCAGACTTCCATTTGTTTTGTATAAAAGTTCAGGCGATAGCACGGAGGACAGCCAGAAACTGACTGCTCTTGTCAGATGGCGTTCAAGGTGGTGGTCGTATTTCCCTGTGCTCGCTCTTGTGAGGATTTTCAAGTACGGGAGTAGAGGGACGGGGGCAGCTGTTCCTGGCGTCTGGCTTCAGTGGCAGGTATGGGCTGTGCACTCCTCAGGACCGCCACGTGGCACTGCCGGACTCGCCTGGAGAGAGCTCAGAGCCCACGTGTTCCGGCTTGCCGTACTGACGCGTAGGGAAGCATCTGTGACATGCAGAGTGAGGTTGAAATTACTTGTAGTGATGTGCTCGGTGAGAGTTCTATAACTTGGTTTTCTGGGTTGGAGGAGTTAGTTTTATTAGAATTGTCCTCGTGTGAGACTGGGAGTCTCCGCAAGCTTAATGATACCACAGACTGCTTAGCTGCAGTCCTAAAACCTGGTCTCCAGACTGCTTTGCATTCTTAAAACTTACGGATTCTAAAGAACTTTTGTTTATGTAGGTTATACCTATAGATATTTATCATATTAGAAGTTAAAACTGGGATTTTTTTTTTTCTTGAATAAATGCTTTTTGTCGTGTACCACTGTGGTTTTTGTGTTTGTTGTGCGGCAGCTTTATGACAGAGGGTAATGTCAAAGTCAAGCTCCAAAAGTCTTGTCCTGTTGGTGACACAGAAGATTAGAGTAGGAGTTCTGATAAGAAGCATGACCGTAAAACCCGGCTTCTGGAAGACCCGGTAGCAGGCTGCCTTGCTCGTGCCGCACTGGGGATCGAAGGTGCGTTTGGAATTGAGGTGTTTGTATCATTTTAATTTGTCTGTTGGCTCTTTCAACATTTTATTAAGACTTTGAAACATACAATAAAGTTCAGAGAATTTTACAGTGAACGCCTACCATCCAGATTCCATAATTTCATTTTATTTTACCTGCTTCTTCCCTTATCTATCTCTCCATCCATGAAGACATTGCATTTTTTGGTGCATTTCAGAGTAAGTTGTTCTGTTGACTTTTTTGCTATGTTTTTGTGCATTATTATTATTTGTTGAAACTGGTTGTTTGCAACCTTCCTCAGCCAACGAGTCTCATTTGAAGCATAGAACAGAGTTGTCTGAGTGATGGTTTCTCATCCCCTAAAGAAAGAGTGACCTGGACACATAGTCAAGCTGACCGTCCCACAGGGCTTCTTTCAGACAGCAGGGCTCAGCTCTGTTTGAGTCCCCGTCGAGGGAAGCTACAGGGATCACAGCACACATCTGTCACTTTTCAGGCCTTGCCTTGAATTCATAGCCAACCACTGGATGCAGAGCGTGAGAACCGTGCAGCGTGCCCAGTGGTGAACTGAAGCCCGGCGTGCCGGCCCACGGGGGTCCGCTGTTCAAAGTGCAGGAAGGTTTTTGGCCTCTTGATGTCCTGTTGATGGCAGAGAATCGGCCGTGGTGGAAGTATTTACACCTTGGAAGCGGGTACAGGCCGCAGAGGAGGGGCTGTCCCGCAGCCAGCCATGACACATTCTACAGAGGTCCGCTGCAGTAGCCCCCCCACCCCCAGCCTGTCCTGTCTGCTGTGGTTGTGTCCGCCCCGTGCACGCGTGCTGTGCACCCACAGCCCAGCTCTGGGAAGAGCAGGTGGTTCCCTGTGACCCGTGAGCCCTGGCACCCTGACTTCAGCACCCTCCTCTCTCAAGCTGTCATGAGAGGTCACGACAGGTCAGCTCCTATCTTCGCTTGGCATATCTGATCCACCCCGCCCACCACCACCACTCTGTCCTTTCTTGTTTCTTTCCGTTTTTAAACCGTGGACCGTCCTACATCCGGAGGCGTTGGGGTGACGTCCTCCGTTGGTCTCCTGGTAACACACCTCCTGGTTCTCCTCCTGCCTCTCTGTCTGCTCGTTCCCTGTGAAACCCCCCTTCTGTCTGCCCCTGAGACGCTGGTGCTGTCTGGCCTCCTCTCTGGTGTCCACTCACGCTCCGTTTGTCTTCTGTTCACCTGTTGATGACTTTGAGATCTGAGTGTTCAGCTGAGACCCCTGCCGGGAACCCCGAGTTGCTGTGAATATTTCCACTGAGGTGGCCTGCTGGCACCTCTGCTGTGTGCCCGGGATGGACCCATCACTCCCATTGCCGCCCCTAAAATGAGTTTCCAGTATACGCGATGGGTGCCGACCTTCCGGCGTTTGGAGCCACACCTTCAGGCCCACCCCAGCTCCCTGCCCCCCACGAGCGGGCTCAGCCTCACAGCCCTGGTGGGTGTGGCTCTGCGGGGCCATCACTGTGGCCGCCATCCTGGTTCAGGCCTCCAGCCCCTCTGCCACCTGTGGGTTCTCCTGTCTGGTCCATCCCCAAGCAGGGACCCGCCCTGCAGCTGGACCACAGTGCCCCTACTTAGGAAGCTTGTCACGGGGCTTGCACTAGGTGCCCCCTCAGTGTGTGTGTGCACCTCACTGATGTCACAGGCCTGTGAAGTAGGGGCCAGTCTTCCTTTTGTTCAGGGACTCAGTAACTACCCAGGGTCACTGAGCTGGAAAGTGTCACATTTCTAACGGAACTGGTCTGACAGCAGAGCCCACAGGCTTACCTTGACCTGCCTGGAGGAGGCCTGCTGTGGGGTTCGTGGGGTGTGTGGGGTTTGTGGGTCGGCCTCATCTTGTCCTCGTATGCCCGCTCTGGTCTCCTGTCACTCCTCTGGGTTGCTGGCTCTAGCCGTGAGCACACTTCCTCAGACGCCCTGCCCTGTCCTGCCTGGGCCTTGATCACCACGTCCCTCTGCTCAGATGGGCTCTTCCCTTTGAAGCCCACCTCTCATGTCACTGCTGTGAACTTTGTAATTTTTGTGTCACTTATGGTTAGTGCTGTGCCTGGAACATACTAATGCTGAATAAAATGTTTGCCTTAATATTTAAATAAGTGAAAAACCCTTAGGCCCTTAGATTCAAGTGCCATATCACTAACCATTCAAATAGAATATATATGTTTTCATTTCCTACTTTTGCTACTTGAGAAGAAACCTTTTATCAGCTTTATATTTTCTAGATCGTGCCATGTACTACTCTTGTTTCTATTTATATTTCTAGAGAATTAACAAATTAAATTAATGCAAGGTAGCTAGATGATTAAAAAAATCAAAGAAAAACAAATAAGGGAATTCTTAAATATAACATGATATGTCCCAGAAAGATGTCAGAGAGGAGGCTCAGGTTAATCAGTGAAGTAGTGAATGCTCAGATTTTAACAATAGCTGAAAAACTGCTTCTAAAAATGATCCTCACTAACACGGACAACCACACGGAAGGGAGAAGGTCTGTCGATACATGAGGAATATTATTATCCAGCTGAGACCTTTAAGAATATAGTTTTTCAATTTTTAGATGAAAACTAGATTTCAGTAATAAAAATTTAAGCAGGAAGCATCTTTTTTTTTTTTTTAAAGATTTTATTTATTTATTAGAGAGAGTGCGCACAAGCAGGGGGAGCGGAAGCCATAGGGAGAGGGAGAAGCAGGCTCCCCGAGAGCAAGGAGCCCGATGCGGGGCTCTATCCCAGGACCCTGAGATCATGACCTGAGCCGAAGGCAGACGCTTAACTGACTGAGCCACGCAGGCGCTCCTAAGCAGGAAGCATTTCAAATGTTACTCTGGTTCAGTTTCTTTATTTTAAGTAGGAAGACATTGAGTTATTTTGTATAGGACTCGGGAGAAGGAGGTGTTTGTGAGGGGTGGGGGGGGGGTGGATGATCATGCATCTTTCCTTACAGTCATAAATGATACACTTCTGACTTTGATAGCTTGTAGTGTAGTTTTGGTAAGTTTTAAAGTGGTTTCCTATGTGGGGCACATAGAAATTAAACTGACCAAAGATACATGGAAATCAAGTAAAGGATCTATGGAAGAAAAGTACCAACTACTCAGTTTTTTCCAGAAGAGTTTAGGGTACAAAGGGAAGTTTCAGAAGAGTGACTCATTCTTGGAACACATTAAAGCTATTACCTATAGGTGTCTGAGATCTACGTGTGATGTGACAGTCAGCTCTCGTAAATCACTTGAAGATGCTTGGCAGTGAGGGTGACCCTTAGAACACGGCCGTTTGAAGTGGGAACTCCCAGGGCTGCAATGGCGAGAATGTGTTCCTGGTCCTGGGCTTGTCGCTGCCGGCTGAGAGGCCTTTGGGTCTGGCTCAGCCCTAAACCGTCTGTGACTTTTTGTCACCCCCGCCCCCATTCAGATGCCCAGTCCTGCTTCAGGATGTTTGGAACCCCTCCCTGGACTGCTTGAGCAGTGCCTTTGTATTTCTCTCCCACACAAATTCCCTCCCACATTTTCCAGTTACATTAGCGTACTGGTTTTTGAAATTAGGTATCGATTCAATGATAGAAGTGGTAGTTCAGTGCAATTAGATGTTTTATTGAAGGCCATGTGGTCTGACTTGTGGGACTGGAGGCAGATTCCTCCTGTGCATCTTGAATGAGAAAAGAAGGAAAGTTAAAACAAACCATCTTAAAAGGAGAACGCACATCCCACTTTGCTTTCTCAGTTCAGCATGAGCGAGCCAGCTGGCCTAGACTCGGGTACCTTTGCCTGGACCCCGTCAGTCCTCGACAGATGTGCCTGCATGCCAGTCCAGACCCCAGCCCGTTTCTCCCCACATAGGAGCCCTCCTGCCTGGTCCACCTTCCAAGTGCGCCTCTGTGGCCTTTCTGTCTGGGAGTCGTGGGTGATGCGAATCTCATCCCTACATGATAGATTGATTTCTAGCTCCTCAGACCTAGCCATGATTGCTTGCACTCTTCAGAAAACCGTTGAGACTTGTACATGCCAGTTAGATGACCATCTGTAGGACTGACCAGGGCAGTGTGAGGGACAGGGATCTCACTATATCTACCAGGAGAGAAGTGGATCGTAAACAGATGTTTGTGTACATATGGGAATGAATACCCTTTAAAATCATGAAACTACATTATGGAAGTTTGGGATAAATACTCATAATTCCACCACCAAACCCAGTGATCCTTGTCAGCTTTGATAACTTATTTTTCATCTTTCTTTTACATTTTAAACAGCTATAGCCATGTTACACATACAATTTGTAATTTTTTAGTTAATATTACAAGCTCTTTTCATGTTTTTGTTGTTGAAATCATGGTCTTTAACGTGAGCTCCAAAATTGAGAACATGTTTGACCATCTTTGAAGCGTAATGGAAGACCCCTAGCCCCCACCCCGCGTCAGCCACTATTGCCCCCACACCCACTGCAGATGTCTCCACAGGGACAAGTCCACTGCCGGTGAAATAGCAGAGCTCCCCTGCGGTGCCTGGTGCCCGCACATGCTGCCCGTGGGTGGTGTAGTGGCGCCGCTCGCTCCGATCGCCGTCCTGGACAGGCCTCCCAGGATGCAGCCACAGAGTTCCAGGTGCCTCTGTTCCTTGCAGACAGCTGGAACAGCGTTCATCTGTTTTCCACATGCTCCTGTCCAAAGATGAGTCACTTCCGCCTTCAGTCCAGTTGGGATTTTCTCTCTTGACTTTTTTTCATAAATCCTAATATTATTCAGTCCTGGGACATTTAGGTGCGCTTTGCTGTCCTGTGGCCAGGGAAAATGCTGACTACATTTTTCTGTGTTCATTGACTTCGTATGTTCTATTGTTTAAAAAGGGGGAAGATCTAGGTTAGAGTGATGTCATTGTGGGTCAGTTTTTAAAAAATGCCTATTGGGAAAACATAAAAGCTGTTTATTTGCTGACAGTCTGATGGAGGAGGCCAGACAGGAACAGCGAGTGGTTTCACTGAGTGAAAATAGGGAGGTATGCAACCTCGAAATGTGTGTTCTTTGTTTTGCCAGAAAGGAAACTTTTTTTTTTTTAAGTAATTCCTTCCTGTAAGGTGCTATTTTAAGCTTAAAATACTTTAAACCGAATGGCTTCTCGTATCTCCCGAGATGCATATCGACCCTGAGGCCACTTTACAAAATTAGGGAGGCCTCAGAGAGAACCGTTTAGCAGGTAAAGGGTCTTCTCTGAAACAGCCAGTAACCTCTGCGAGTGAGGACCCATCTGTCACGTTTGCTGCCCTGTTCGCAGCCCCTAGAATTTGACCTTGTGCACAGTAGGAATCTGATAGGACATGTTGGTGAGTGAACAATTGTTGGTTTTAGAGCAAGGATCGCACATTTTTCTGCACGGATCCAGATAGTAAATATTTTTGGCTTCGGGAGGCATAGGGTCTCTGGCACAATGGCTGGGCTCTGCTGTCGTGGGGTGGAGGGCAGCCACTGACAGTATGTAAACAAAAGGCGTGGCTGCATGCCAACGAAGCTGTTTACACAAGCAGGCCCAGGGCAGCCTCCAGTTGGCCAGCCCCGCTTAGACCCGTGCTGTCCAGTGGAAGTCTCTGTGATGACCGAATGTTCTGTGTACTGCACAGCATGGCAGCCACTAGCCCCACCTGGCTGTGGAGCACTTAGGATGGGATTACTGCAACCAAAGAAGTGGATTTTTGATTCTGTTCGGTTGTAATTAATACAAATGTAAATAGTCACATGTGGTTAGTTGCTGCGGTGTTGGGCGTTGCAAGGTTAGAACCTTCCCCGAAGCACGTTGCACAGAGTGGTTTGTTGTTCTCTGGGAGACCTGTACACGGGAGGGGAAGAAAGAGTTCTGTAGCCCCCCAAACTGGGGAATTGTTAATAAGAATAGACTTGTTCATTTCAGGACTGCTCAGAGCCTTTAATATTCTAATGTACAAGACAGTCTACCAGAAAGTCTTAGATTTTTTCCTCTGAGCTTTTTGACCGTGAAGCTTTCTGCGGGTGCCCTTGAACATCTTAGAGCACCGGTGTTCTTGGAGAAGACCTTGGGAGATGCCGGTGTGGCAGGCCAGGACACTGGGCATCTGCAGGACATGGAGCTTAATAGTTTCAGAGGTTCTGTTAAGTGTTTCCCCTTGGACAGTTAGGTTTGAAAGGTCTGTGGAAGTCCCCGTAGTCCATGGCCATGGGCTCTCTGGGACCGTGAAAACTGACATGGAGGAAGACGTGTGTAACACGCACTGAAGCCCCTCGTCTGTCGTGGACTCTACTTGTTCACTGCATAGGGGGGTGACTAGATTGTCCGTGTCTGCAGACAACATAGACACTCCAGGAATCCATCCCGTTAGCACTTGAGAAACATTCTCATTTGAATTGGAAATAGGACGTGCACACCTCCGTGTGGTTTGGGAGTTTGGAACCTGCATCACGTTTGTAAGTGGCTGTTTTATCTTGAGCAAATGTTTGTGCTCCAGATACTTGCATTTTCAAACTAGTTTGTGCGTAAGAACTTAACTGTACCCTTTTGGTTCTGAGGAGACACAGGATGCAGCCCTGTGAGTTCGAGGGCAGAGTGGCACTGCCGCGCGGGGGCTGGGGCCGTGCTTTGTCCCCTGCGGCGCTGGTGCTGGGCCGCTGCGGCCCCGGACTCCCCGTTCTGCTCTTCAGAGGCAGCACTAGGAGCCTTCCGTGCTGCCTTGACTACCGCCAGCCGGGCCCTGTCACAGGACCGTGACACCGTCACAGCCGACAATGTGGAATTTTTCCGAAGTCGGAGCAGATCCTACCGCATCTGCCCTCATAATTGGGGTCTGTACCCTCGTGCATTCCCGTCAACTCCTGTTCTCTTTCCAAGGACCGTTCTCTTTTCTATGATTTGTTTTCATGTTTGGCCTTTTTTTTTTTTTCTGTTCCGCTTTTTAAATTCCCCTCTATTCCCGAGTGTGACAGCGTTCTGCTTTCCTCTTCAGCCCTTCCTCCCAGGCGAGCACTCGGCAGAGGAGAGCACGCGGCGCTGGCGTCCAAAGCCTCGTTTTGAAAATTGCTAAAATATCAAATGCTAACTAATATGTGCCCCAAGGTTTTATTTCATTTTTATAATTTTGTTTGTTGTTGTTGTTGTTTTTTGCTTTTACAGTGAGTGTTGAAAAGATAGACCTGAAGGGATTATCTCACAAAAAAAGTGAAAGAAATGTTGAATGTTCCTTTGAGGTAAGATGCCAAGTTTTTTTTCCCTTTTCTCCCCTAAGGGGTAGGAAGGAAACATTTGCCATGCGTAGATACTTAGCTTGATCTAAATGGAAGATGGGCTGTACCAATGCTGTGGGAGGCAGAAAGCCGGGCCTGGGCCACGGGCGGGCAGTCTCCTGAGAGCCTGTGTGCTGAGCGTTGTCTAGACTGGCGTGCTCGGCTACTGCTGCTTGGTCACCAAAGTTGGCTGACACAGGGACACCGTGTGAAAATTGAGACACACTGCATATTAGGATTGGAGGCCCGCAGGAACTGTGGCCCGGCGGCCTCACAGTGTGCTGGGAGCTGTGCCCCATGAGGTCCTTGGGGGCCTGGGCTCCCCCCAGTTGACTGCCTTGATATCCCTGGGGTGTGCGCCCTCAGCCTCATGGTCCAGGGTAGTAGCCAGGGCGCTAGTCCTCACGTTTTCATTCCAGGTAGCAAGATATAGGATGAAGAGGAGGGAAAACTTTACTTCTCTCTCTCTTTTAAGGAAAATTCTGAAAGTGGCCACTAGACATTTCCACTTATGTTTTGTTGACTCAAACTTAGTTTCTTGGTCCTGCTTAGCTGCAGAGGAGGCTGGGAAATGTGTTCTGGCTGGCCATATCCCCAGGGTTCTGTTACTTGGCTGTCATGTTGTGTGAGGTTCTCCTTTGACCCTGTGCCTGAACACTGATTACTAGGGAGTATTCTCAGGAATAAAAGCTTCTCGTTCGTATCTAGTTTGTATGCTCTGATGCTGTGTGTGGTTCACTAACTTTTCAGAGGGTATAGCTGCATCGAAATACTTTAAATAGTCTCACCACTAAAAGGATAACATCTTCATTTGATTCAGAGGGTGTACTACATTGTGAGAATCCCTTGTTTGGCTACGCATGTGTCTTCAGAATGTTCGGGAAAGACTCACCTAAGGTTTTGGAGGCTGTTGAAACTTGTGACCAGCACCCAGGTTTCAGTACCCAGAGAACCTTGGAATCCCAGCATCTTCAAGGCCTCGTAGAGGTGGGAGCCTAGCAGGTCCCTAGAGCCCTGAGCATGTTGTTTTCCCTCCACCATGCTCTGTGTCTCATGGCTGGCCCTCCCCTCGAGATCATCCGCCTCCACACGGCTGAGCCTTTCTGGGGGGGGTGGGCCCCACTTAGCCCGTCCTCGGGTCCACAGCCTGGGCTTGTACAGTGTGAGATGTGACTATGGCTGGTGTGACTGCCTGCAGCTTCTCTCTGAAGACGTGAGCTTTGGCAAAATACACACTTGGCCTCTCGTGGCCTTTGGGAGGAGATGGGAGTTCTGTTAGGAGTGGGGAGGCAACAGGCTGGTGAGGACGGGGCACGGTGGCCTGAGTCCTCTGCGGGCAAGCTGCACAACTCCAAGAGGAGCCGGGAGCCCTGAGCTTGCGGCCCTGGACTCTGGAGTGTCCCTGGTGTCGATGCTGTCACACAGGGTGAGGTGTGTAGTTGAAGGTGTTTCTCCGCCGGTGGGTGAGTGTTCTAAGACTTAAAGCAAAAGCTTTGGTTATCTGCGATTCTTACTTTTCCTGAAGTGATAACTGACAGAAGTATTCTTGTGTTTCGGAAAGTGAGAATTCCTTTCTGATGCGGAAGTCCAAACTAGTTTTTCTTTTGGGGTATTTTTTTTTTTTTACGATTTTATTTACTTGACAGAGTGAATGAGTGGGAGGAGGGGCAGAGGGAGAGAGAGAGATCAAATTTCAAGCCGACTGGTGCTCAGCACGGAGCCAGACATGGGCGCAGTCCCTGAGGTCATGACCTCAGCTGAAATCAAGAGTCAAGACGCTTAACTGACTGAGCCACCCAGGCGCCCCTTGGGGTACTAACTCGATATGCCCTGAGGGACTTCCAGCCCAGCCCAAACTGTGCTGGTTGAATGGTAACTCGAGGCACAAAGGAAAGATAGGATCGACGTCAAAAAAAATTTTTTTTTGACCTTGTTACTCCAAAACACTGTTCATTTGCACAGCTTCAGCTATGTGCTCGTTTTGCGCGGGGCTGGTAGGGTGCTGCTGCCGGCTGTCATTCACGTGTCAGGCTGGAGACTTGTGTCACGCAAGGGAGGCTGTGCACCTTCGGGAGTGTGAGCGCAGGGGCTCCCGCCAGCGCCACGCTCCAGAGAGAGAAGAGCGCAGGGCGGGCGGCCCGAGGACAGCGGCGAGCCTACCTAACTACTCACCTGCTGTCACTGCAAATGACTAGCCTCAAAAATAAGCCCCAGCAGGATTTTTCTGTCTTAGAAATCAACAAGCTAGCCCTAAAACGTATATGGAAAGAATAACAAGAGTAGTCAAACAGTTTTGAGAAGAAGAATAAAGTTGGAAGCTGCACACTGCCTGTCTTGGAGACTTGCCGTTAGACTACAGGGACACTGGCGCATGGGGTCGCCGTGAGCATGGGGCACTGGTCAGCAGGTCGGAGCACAGAGTCCAGAGTTAGACTCACAGGTCAGTGGCCGATTGACAGGCCAGCAGTTCCCGTGAAGAAAGGACAGTCATTTCAACAAATGGCTCCAGAACCCTTGACCAAACCTCTCACCTCACATAGAAAACTAAGTCAAAACTGTTCATAGCCCTGTGTACAACCTAAACCAATAAAAGTTCTGGAAGAGAGCCTACCTACAAGACTGTGTGGCTAGGCAAAGGTTTCTTTGCTACGGCACCAAGAACATGATCCGTGAAAGACAAAATGAATACGAGAGACTTGATCAGAGTGTCGAACTTGCTCCTGGGGGGCACCCTGAGGGTGAGGGGATGGCTGAACAGGACGCAGACTAGGAGGTATTTGCACATTACATATTCGATAGATAGTTTTCATCCCAAATAGATAAAGGACTCTCAACACTCAGCAATAAGAGAGCACCCCAATAAAAAATGAGCCAAAGATTTGAACTGACGTTCGGAGGGCGAATATCCCACGTGAGCAGATGTCTGGCCCCACCAGTCATTAGGGCAATGACCATTAGAGCCACGGGGAGGTGGATCTGCGTGCCTGCAGCACGGCTGCAGCTGGAGACGGGCGCGCAGCAGAGCTGGGACTCTCCCCAGCAGCCGGAGCATGTGCTCAGGGCTACGGCCTCTTTGCAAGGCTCTCTGGCAGTTTTATTTTTTATTTATTTATTTTTTTAAAGATTTTATTTATTTATTGAGAGAGAAAGAGAGCACGAGATGGGGGAGGGTCAGAGGGAGAAGCAGACTCCCTGCTGAGCAGGGAGCCCGATGTGGGACTCGATCCCGGGACTCCAGGATCATGACCTGAGCCGAAGGCAGTCGCTTAACCAACTGAGCCACCCAGGCGCCCCTCTCTGGCAGTTTTATAAAGAGCTACACATTTCCCTAAAGTATGACCCATCAGTTCTACCACTAGGTATTAATCCACGGGAAAGGAAAGCATTTGATAACAGATTTGTACGTGAGTGTTCACGCCAGCTTGATATGGCAGACCACCCTGAGTGTCCGTCCGCAGGAGAATGGATGAACCCATGGTGGTTTTGGAAACACTGTGGAAGACCACCCATAGTGGAAAGGACTGAGCTATTGTTAACACTAGCAACATGGAGAAAACTCAGATAATTACGCTGTGTGGAAAAAAACAGACCCTTTGCTACAAAGGATATATGGTGTGAGCCCATTTACATAAAATTGTAGGAAATACCAACTGTCTACAGTGAGAGAAGGCACACAGTGGCTTCCTGAGGAGAGGAGGAGGGAACGTTTGGGGGTGATGGACATGTTCGTGGTATTGATGGGAGTGATGGTTTCCTGGATGTAAACATATGCCCAGACTTAGCACATTATGCCCTTTTGATAGGCGTGGTTTATCATCCTTTAGCACTCAGTACAATTTAAAAAAAAAAAAAAAGGTCACCTGAGGATTAAGCCTTTCCTTTTGTCCACAGAACCCTAACTAATGAAGATTAAATAAATTGTCCTTTAAGTAAGGTGTTTCTTGTATGTGGAAGTAAACAGCTACCGTACTGGGACCAGAGCCATCGAGCACCTTCTAGAAGCGCCGGCCGTCCTGGGCCGCGATGGGACGGCTGTGCTGGCCAGAGAGGGAGACGCAGAGAAACCTCTCTCCTGCTGGCCTCCCTGGCTCTGGAGGGGCAAGGTGGCCTCTGCCCACCGTTTCCTCGGTCCTGTTTATCTCTAGTTTCACTTTTTATGGATCAGTGTTTTCCAGGGGTACAAATGAAAGGCTTCTTTTATAGGAAAGCCTACGTAGCTGAAGTGAGATGCTTCTAGTATGTAAAGATGTACTGCAAATAGGAGTCTGCGCTTCCTGTTCTTTTCCATGGGGTTGGTTGTGTTTTTACGGAGTCGGAGCTGCTCCGAACTGGTTCCTGAGGAGCCACATCAGGGCACAGGAAGCCAGAGGCTGCACACAGAGTCAGCGTGCAAGTACGCACATGTGGAGTGTCCAGATGTTACCAGTTTTCCCAGATTCACTGTTGAAAAACTGGAATGAGTAAAATTTTTTTTAGTAAAATGATTTCCTGTATCAAAGTGAAGGATAGAGAGGGAAAATACCAGAGGATGTCCCAAACCCTTGAAGCACCTCCTAGACTGTAGAATTTCAGCAACTTAGAAAGAACTGGAGAACAGTGCTAATCAAAACCATTCTTTCTGAAGGACCCAGGCATTGCATTTACTTTAGTGCTCTATCTTTTCCTTGAAAGTTTTATTTTTTCATTTCAAAATAATCTTAACTGCTTTGAATATCTTATTGCCATATTAGCAAAGATGAGTCTTGACAACTATTCTTTTAATTTAGTTTTTGTTTTCATCAGCTGTTCTTGCGGAATTGAGAGTCCAGTAATCCTGCGAACATTGCCAAGAGAGCAGGAAACTGTTTGTTTTGACGTGCGTGTTCGTGTGACTGCGTGAGGGTTGCTGATCCTGGAGCCACATGGTGCATGCTCAGGGCTTTCCCTCGAGTTGTCTCTTTGTGTTTGCTGGTTTGTTTTTTGCTTAGGGACAAGTTCTTAGAAATGACTTCACTCCAAAAGTCCTGTGATTGTCTGAAAGTCCCCCCGTTGTACTCAGACAGGCCCAGCGCCCTGTGGTTCTGCTGCCACGTGGACCCGATAGCCCTTGGTGGGCCCCAGCTCTCCCCTTCATCCCCACCCGCACGGCCCCTCCCTCCTTACAGGCGCCATCCCCTGTTCTCGGGTCTTATATCACTCTCTGTCTGGTAGCTTCTTAGAAAGGGCACTTGGGAGGTCCTGCTTCTGGGGCCTTCCATGTCTGGACCTGCCTCCCCCCCGCCCCCGACGTGTGACTGAGAACACAGGCGGAGGCTGGGCGTTGCTCTTCCTCAGGGATCCGCTGCTCTGCTGACTTCCGGCCTCCTGGTCCTGAGCTCTGGCACTTTGGACGGTTTCCTCAGTCCTGGGTGTTTGCACACCGCTCACCCATGCTTGGCTGTGGGTCTGTTCTCATCAGTGTGCTGGCACTCAGTGGGCCCTTTTAACTTGAAAACTCACATCCATAATCTGGGGGCCCTGTCCTGAATCTTACCTTTTGGTTTCCTCTGCTCTGTGTTTCTCTGTTTGCTTGCTTTGGAACTCCAGCTGTCTGCATATTGGACCTCATATTGGCCTGGTCCTTTGTTTGATTTTTTTTCTCTGTTTTCTCTCCTTTTGATATTTCGATCTACTCGAGTGAGGACTGTGTCATCTCTCCCCTTCATCAGTGGGGTTTTTCACTCCTGTCCTGGTTTTAATTTCAAAGAATACTTGTTCTCTGACAATTCTTTTTTCATAGCATCCTGTTCTTGGCTGTGCTTTTCTTAGATCACTGAGAATATTAATGATAGTTTTTAGTTTTTTAAAACTATGGTCTGTGTTTCAGCCTGGCTGCCTTGAGCTCTTCGAGGCCGGTGCTGGATGTTCTGGTGCTGGGCCGCCGGCTCACGTCTGTGGTGCGGCAGGAGCCGTGGGCAGGGCCTCTGGGCTGGGCTGCTCCCTGGGCAGAGAGAACACTCTGCTCCACGTGCTCCAGAGTAGACTGCCGTGGGTGACCCGGGGACATTGGGGACGGAGCCGACAAGTGAGTCAGAGGACTGAGATGCAGTGTGACGTAGTCCTAAGTATCTGTTTTGTGCATGTTTTGCTTTTTGTGTATGCTTAGGGTATTTTACGGTATGGCTTAGTGAGGCTGTGTAACAGGTGCAAGTGACAGGAAACCACACTGCCATCATTTATTCGGCAACTTTTTCTTGGTGGTACGTAACATAACGGGGTAGCTTACAGTTGGTGCCGCCTTGGGTTTGACGGGACACGTGTGTAGCATGTCGTGCGCTGTGAGGCTCTTCTGTGTCCAGGCTCCTCCCGGGGCCTGTCCCCTCCTCTGGTGCAGGTGCCTGGCCTGGCGGGTGAGGCCGAGGGTGAGTGTGAGGAAGCCTGTGCCCGCTGCAGAGAGTGGTGCTGCTGGGGGCATCCCGGGAGTGAGCCCTTGCTTTCTGTCTGCTTAGACTGAAGGTTGGAAGGAAAAGTAAAGCATCGGGAGCTGACGGCCTGTAGTGATGGTGCCTGTTGAAAGCACATCGTTGTTGGGGAAGCAGATTGTCTGTTTCAACATAGCATGATATGTCTGTGCTGCACGTGTAGCTTGGGCGTTGGAGTTCATGTTTTTGTGGGCTTTAAGATGTGTTCGTGCCATGTGGATGTGGACGGGAAGAGAATCGGGTTTTGATCTTGGTTTAAGAGTCACGGGGAAAACAAAAATCCTCCACCACGTGCTGCACTGTGACCAGCACAAGATGTCAGCAGTGCTTGGGGTCCAGCATCTAAAGACCAGAAAGTTTCTGCCTTTAATCCTAGATGGTTGCTGGGGTTTCCTTGGGTAGCAGCTTGCCCCAAACTTGTGTTCAGTGCTGTCGGTGAGATTTGTCTCCAACAAAAGCAGGTTGGGGTCTGCAACTTGGTGCGGGTCCATTTGGGCAGCGAGGCATGTTCATTCAAGGAGCACCAGCACCTGCTGCATCAGTGAGCCCCAGGCGCCCCGAACTCAGAGATTGGGGAGGATCTCCTTTCCTCCGCTGGCTTGTGTTTCCCGGGAGCTCAAGGAGACGGCCACCTCGGTAGTTGTTTCGTGGTGCGGCCACTGTGGGGACGGAAGGGACGCGTGTGGGGTTCAGCAGAGGAAAGGGGACGTGGGGTCCATCGGCAGCCACAGTAGGCTGTTTCTCAGAAGGCGCGGACGGGTGGCGGGAGCAGAGGGGTCTTCCAAACTGCCACGCTCCGTCTGCTCCATCGCTGCGAATACAGCGCTTTCTTTTTGGTCGTTTTACTCCGTGACTTGAGGCCCTCTGGTGGCTTCTTCTGGATCTGAGGGCCGAGTTCCTGCTTCCCGGTCCCACCCTTCTGGTGGCCCTCCCGCCTCACGCTGCAGTGGCTTCCCTGTGTCCCCGCCCTACTCCGTGTCTGAGTGCGGCGCGCCCCCCACCAGTCCTCAGTGCCCCCAGGGGGTCAGGAAACACTGGAGAAGCAGCGGGAGGATGGAGGGAGGAGACCTTCCCCCAGGACGTCTGCAGGCTGTCACCTAGGGGGACTGCCTGGGACGCGGTGACGACACGGGGCCGCCCACCCGCCACACGCAGCGCGGAAGCGCAGCCGTGTGCTCAGGTCTCGGGCACGCCCAGCGCTGTAGGGCTGCTTGCAGAGAGCCCTTCCTGCTGCTCTCTCCAAAAGGTTTCCACCCCAGCCTGCACCCCAGCCACTCCCTGGGTGCTGACTGCCCTGGCCCCCGTTCTGTCAGGTTCCTGAGGGTGGGGGCCTTGCCTCATTTTCAGCAGCAAGGAGGCCCCCTTGAGGATGGTGTGCCCTGGCACACACAAGCAGTCGTGATTGTCAGTGACTGCGTACAAGTTTGTGGAGCAAGCCTCAGACTCCATGCTTGAGTAATTTGGTGATATTTGAATAATTGCATAAAACAGGAAGCAAAGCCTTAAAGGACTTGAGCTATGTGAACTCTTCTCTCACGAGTCGGGGGATGTGTAACTACCCCATTTAGCAGGTGCACCACACTTAGGGCTCAGCACACTCACTGCACCTGTGCCCGTGAAGACTCCCTGGACAGGTGTGTTGTGAGGGACGTACGTGGCGTCTGTTTTTAAGGTTTGTTTGTTTGTTTGTTTTTAAGGTCTTGTGGTCTGATTCTTCAGTAACATCAGTAACCAAATCTTCCTCTGAAGTGACTGAATTTATTTCAAAGGTAAGGTGATTAAGGGCTCTTACAAAAATTAAAAGGCTCTCGATAATATTGCAGAGTGATTTCAGTGGATTGCTTCCTTCAGCTGGCAGAGCAGGTAATTCGTGCATGACCATAAAAACATGGTCCTCAATGCCACGGTCCACGCTCCTTGCAGTTGTTGAGAATGAGAAGAGGCAGGACGCTGGGACCTGCACAGGCGGCCGCAGGGTGTTTGCTCCGGTTACTCTGCAGAGAGACTGAGAGAGAGTCCAGTCCCAGCTCGATCTGTTGGACATACTGGGTTTTCCTCTTCATTTTCTGATTGCTTCAACAAATGTCATCTAAACAAAAGGTTCCACTACTAACTAAATACCACTTTGCCTACATAGACACGTGTCCATACACACACACACCTCCACGGTTACAGTGTGTTTGCAGTGCACTGGCCTGGGCCAGTGCAGTGAACCGCTGTCGCTAGCCAGAGCATCTTAATTAGTCCCCTTTGTCTCATGGAGTGTGACATATCAAAAGTGTCTCCAAAGCGAGTCTTAACGTTTTCACTATAAAATAAAGGATGTGACCCTGCAGGAGAAAATGCAGTGCATGGATCCTGTTGACAAGCCTGGACAGAAGTTGTCTGCTCACGCCTGTCCTCTGGGCCTGTCAGCCACGCTTTCTGGGGTTACCGGCCCCCCCCCCGGAATTCACATTTTCGTCCGTGACCCTGAGAACGCTACATTTCCTCTCCTGCGTGCCTAGCCTCTCCTTTGTAGAACACCTGTTGCTCGGGACTGCGCTAACGCTGGCGCAAACTTTAACCCCACTGGGTGCTGACAGTGCTTCATGTTCACCTGGCTGTGTGTTCTCTGACCTTCCTGGATACCTGGTTTATTGTCTCTTGTTAATTTTGGGAGAATTCTTTCCCCTTATCTCTTCAGATATTTCTTCTGCCCCCCTCTCTCTCTGCCTTTGGACTTGAACTCTGTGCACCTGGACCTTTGACGTTGTCCACAGCTCTTGGGTGCCGTTTTTGTTTTTCTTGCTCTTTTCGTTGTGTGTCTCGGTCACACGATCTCCCTTGCCCTGTTCCCAGGCTCCCGGACGTCCAGTCCACAGCTCTGCCCCGGCTGCCGCTGAGCCTGTTTTATGTGCCGAGCTCTTCATCTCTGGGACCATGGTTTTCTATTGTTCTGATTTCTTGTTTTTCCTAGCTTTTCCATTTGACAACATCTTTTAGTAAAGTTTCCATCTCTTTGCTGAGATTTCCCATTTGTTGTCATGCATGTTGTCCATTTTTTCACTAAATCTTTCAGTATGTTAATCATAGTTGTTTTATAATCCCTAATAGTTCCCACATCCAGTTATCTCTGAGTTTGGCTCTGATGTTTATCTTCACAATAGTTTTCATTCCCTTATTATTTTTTTTCGTGTATCTTGTAATTTTTTGATTGAATATTAGACATCATGTTTAGAAAATGTAGAGACTGAGGGAAACCGTGTATCTGCCCTGAAATGGGCATGCTGCCGTTTCTCTCAGGCCCTCAGTGGGGTCCTCGATTTGGTCTGATCAGGAGTTGAGCTGGGTTTGGGTTTTGTTGCTGCTAGAGTTACCTCCAGTACCCCCGTGGGCTTCAGGTTCTTCCGGTGGAGGGTGGTTGTCACCTTGAGCCTGGGGAGAAGTGTCAGAAGTTCCTCTCAGTGGTCTGGCTTCACCCGTGGCCCTCAGCAGTCCTCACTGTGTGTCTGTGGCCCGGAGGGGCTCTCCCTGATCTGTTGACACACACCCTGCCCCCCCCCCCCCTGCCCGGGGGAGACTGCGGTTACTTGTTGCCTGGTGACAGACTTGCGGTGGGGGTGAGGTGTTCTCTGGCTGCTGGTCCACACTCAGTCCCAGGCACATGGCCCTTGGGGGCTTTCTCGGCACCCCTGCCGCTTTCCTCCCCAGCAGCAGCTGACCTCCTCTTTGTACTGGTACGGTGCCCTCAGCCCAAGAGGGCTTTTGCCCCTTCCTCAGGGCCAGCGGGCTGTGCCTGCACCTTCCCCCAGAAGCAGGGCATCTTTGCTCGGGGCCGGGTGCCGGGAGGACTCCCTCCCCTCCCGCGGAGGCAGGACAGTAGTGCTCCTGCCTCATCCCCAGAAACGGAGGGTCTGCCTGGGCTCTGGGAGCAGGAGCAGAGTCTTGTCCCTCCCCCAGGGGCTTAGGGCTTTCTCTTTGGATTTAGAGAAGGCTCCAGAGAAGTCCTAGGGTTCCTGCCGGGCCCCCAGGGGCAGCCAGCCCCCACCTCTGCTGCCTCGGAGGCTCCCTCCAGTCTCCTGTGGAAGCAAGCTGGGGAAGGAGGGTACACTCCCCTTGTGTCTGGGGCTCTTGGCTGACCACTGTCTGGCCCACACTCAGCCCACGGGAAGTGTCCATCTTCTGACTCTTCTGCCGGCTGGCATGGCGGCTACCTCTTCCTCGTGTTCTGCCACAGCAGAGACGGATCACGTGTCTTGTCTCTCCTTGGAGGGGCAGGCCCCTCTTGAAATTCAGTTCACGTGGTGACCTTGCAACTGAGTTCCCTATGGGCTCACGGATAGGTATGATCGTGTTGGTTATGGAGGTTTTTACCGATGTCGTGGTGGGAGTGATGTTTTTTTGTGGCTTTCCACAATCTAAGTGGAAGTAGAGCCCCAGAGAGCTGAGAGCAAGGTGGGTTGTAGTGTGCTGCAGGCGTCAGCGTCTAGTGCCTGCCCATCTCTCAACCGGAAGAGGCCCGTGTCAGGTGAATTTTGACAGACGTCCAATGCTTTTCCATCTCTTTCAGTTACCCCAGCTGTACCCTGAAGAAAATCTGGAGAAGTTCATTCCTTGCTTAGCTGGCCCAGATTCCTTTTACGTAGAGCGAAACCACATGGATCTGGAAGCGGACCTGAGGTAAGGCTGCCCCGCACCTGCAGGCCAGGGACGCAGCCCCAGCCGTGGCCCTGTGGGGCCCGTCCGTGTGGCGATGCGTGGCATGGCCAGAGCGGGGTGGGTACACACCTGAGCTGCCTGGTCATCCCAGTGGTCTGGGTCTCAGTGTCGTCCCTGGGATTTTCATCAGCGATGGAGAATTTGGTGGAGTTAGTAACAGAGGCATGATTTTGAGGATATGAGTAAAGGAGTTTCACAGTACGTGCCACCACTTCATGTGATGTTGACGGTCTGAGGAAATGAAATCCAGTTACTGTTTCTGTCCCGTAGTGGAAAGTTGAGACTGTTGCAGGACAAAACTAGGGCCCGGTAAAGTCTCGTCAGCTAGTGTCTCCTGGCCGTTGAGCACACCCTGGGTGGGTCAGCGGGCAGAGGGGGCAGGCCGGCTTCCTGGAACCAGTGACTCGGGTATAGTCCAGTTGCCGCGTGCTGCCGGAGACTGACGGGCCCGACTGTGCCCTCGTGCGAGCCCGCTGCGCCCGCCGTGCTGTGAGGCGGTGGGTGTGGGGAGGGGCTCAGGGAAACCATAGGACGCAGACAAGAATGGAGTCAAAGCAGGGGAATATGGGTGTTGTGGTGCTTCTGTTTACTTTTTTCCTCTCATGGGTATTTCTCTTAACTGAAAAGTAAAATTTCACTCTGAGTTAGTTTTTGGTAATAACCATTTTATTGCTGATAAAACCACTTTGTTTAATTTTTAGGTATTTGGCTTCATTACCTTCTCACGTGTTAAAAAATGACCACGTCAAGAAATTTTTCAGCACTTCATCTCCCACCCAACAGCTTCAAAGTCCAAGTGAGTTTGTGAAATGTGATTACGTAAAGATAAAAACAGCTTGATTGTCTGCCACCTTTCTGACATTTGTCTTACCTTGCAGGTCCTGGCACCCCTTCCCTCTCTAAAGTGGGTACCATGATGGGCGCGTCTGGAAGGTGAGGCATCTGGAACCAGCACGTTTCACATCCGCATAGAGGTTACTTCTGCCTGTGTATAAATGTTTGTAGATGAAGTCATTTTTGGTCTTAGTCTTGAATAATATTGTGAGGGGATTTGGATACAGATACTCCAGTCTACGATTTCTCCATGTAAAAAAAGAAGTGGTCCTCTGGGCCACTGGAGTTGGAATTCCCAAGGACCCTCATTGCAAACGCCGATTTCCGGGCCCTGTGCACCCTAGGACAGCAGAATTTCAGAGAATCTTCATTTTTATAAGCTCCCAGGGAGCGATTGTGCCCATGAGGTGGCAGAGCCACTGCTCCCAGGGTCCTCCATCAGCAGGAGGCCTGATGGTGGTTGTGTGACAGACAGGTGGGCCAGTGTCACAGACAGTGACACACACGCACGGACGCTTGTGTGAAGAGGCAGTCAGGCGGTAAGGGCTTCCAAAGTGCTGACTTTCCCCTTTACCCCCTGCCTGCTACATACTGAGTACACCGTGAACATGCGGGTTTGTGGTCTGGGTTGGAAGGGTCAAGGGCAGAAAGCAGAATGTGGAGTGTTCCTTCCAGCCTGCTGCTGGGACTCCCTCTCACAGAAAGTTCATTCAAACGTTAAAGATTGAGGAGTCAGTTGTAATGTATGATTTTCAGTATCATGCTATGATTGAACAACAGAGACTGGGCCGCTCAGCCACACATGCGCACGCACAGCTGTGCCTCCTCAAGCCCGTCCACGCGGACGCACCTGTATGCACGGGTGCACGTCCATGTACACGTGCATACCCAAAGAGGCCTCCGGGGGGCGGGGGGGGCAGTGGCAGGACAGGGCTCTGATGCTGGCAGTGGGCGTGGCCTCGGATGCAGCCCAGCACGTGGGAGCCGGCTTCTGCCCACTGTCCACCGTGTGTCCGGGAAGGAGGCCGTGGTCCCGGGAAGACCACCTGTCTGCTGTCCCCACAGGCCTGTGTGTGGCGTGGCCGGCATCCCCTCCTCTCAAAGCAGTGCCCAGCACCACATGCAGCACTCGGCCAGCGCGGCCACGTTGCCCCACTGCTCCCACGCGGGGGGTGCAGGCTCGGCGTTGGCCTACCGGGCCCAGATGGACAGCTCGCCCGCCATCCTGATGCCCTCCAGTCTGCAGACCCCTCAGACCCAGGAGCAGAACGGGATCTTAGACTGGCTTAGGAAGCTGCGCTTGCACAAGTACTACCCTGTCTTCAAACAGCTCACCATGGAGAAGGTATGTGGATGACCCGGGCAGGCAACATAGTCCTCCTCTGACCTCATTCCTAGGGGCCTTGAGGTGGGTGTCTAGACTGTCCATGATGTGGAAATCCCGTGGCCTGCTGTTCGATGCCTGTGTGTGTGCCTGGAGTCCTGCACGCCCACGGGGAGTGGCGGTGGATGTGGATTGGAAGGCTCCCTGCAGCCAAAGCAAAAATTCGAACAGGATTGGTTGTAAACAAACAGCTTTTTTTTTTTTTTTTTTAGATAGTCTGGGGTTTTCACGTGTTAGATACTCTACATGATATGAAGGACATTGTATCCCCAGCAGCCATTTTGGAAGAAATGGTGAATTCTGGTGCACTCGCGCCCTTTGTTAGATGCCCTTCAGCCTGGGCTGTGCGTGTGCGGGAACTCAGTGCCAGAAGGGCCTGTTTTACAAGGTGCCCAAATACTTGCATCCGAGGGAGCAGCCCACTGATGATCTGGCTTGATTGAGGGTCATACAGTTGAAAGTAATAGATGGATTTTATGTCTTTCAAGCAGTCCTACGAAGTTTCGGGTTGTTTTTTTTTTGAAGAGAGAGAGGAGGGGCAGAGGGAGAGAGAATCTCAAACTCCCCGCTGAACGCAGAGCCCGCCCCAGGGCTGATCTCACAACTTTGAGATCACCACCTGAGCTGAAATCAGCAGTCGGACGCTTAACCAACTGAGCAACCCAGGCGCCCTGGAAATTATTTTTTACAACAGAGGAGTTTTGATGAGCACTTTTTTGTTGTTAAAGAAAATTCTGGAATTTCTGAAGTCTTGGTGTCACTGAGAAAACTAAATTTGACCGATGGCGGTGTGTGAGCTCTGATGCCCCTTGCTGGATACAATCACTTGGTGCTTTTATGTATATAAATATCTTATTTGTCCAAAAATCTGCAGTTGAATCTAGAAATCAAGCTTTTAGTACATAATAAACCGCTTTTAAGTATATTTGTAATACTCTTGTCTTAGGATTCATAAATTCTAAAAAACAATAGATATTGCCAACTTTGTCTCATGATCAGTTTAAAAAAGTTTTAATGTAATGTAGGAGTTGAATTTTAGCCATAAAATCACAATCCTGTTATGAAGTGTCGTGCGAACCACAGTGTTGTGTCTGCTTGGTATAAGACCCATGGGTTAATTAGCCATTCAGTTCAGGTGGCATCTGCTTTTCTGGGTCACTTGCTTCCCAACAAAGTTGCTTTGCCCCTAAAATGATGGTGATTGTGAGACAAAAGAGCTGTTAAAGAGTTCTCCTTTCTGGAGGAGGATAAACGGCTTGCATTTACCCCAGGGGGTAGGCCCCTGGACAGGAGGGGGACATTTCCACAGACCCAGTCTGTGTAGAAGTGGAAACTGCAGGACATGTTCTTTAGTCCCCTGCCCGCATAGTGCGGACCTTCCAGGTGCCCCATCTTCTCCAGGCCGTGTGCGGAAGGCCCAGTGGACGTGGCCGGTGAGCCTCATATGGAAAGTGAGCATTTCATGTTTTGAATGAGGGACACCACATCATTTAGCAGTGGACTGTTTTGGTGTTCCCAGGGCTTCTTTTTCTTTTCTTTTTTTTTAAGATTTTATTTATGTATCTGACAGAGTGAGTGAGAGAGAGCGAACACAAGCAGGGGGAATGGGAGAGGGAGAGGCAGGCTCCTCTCTGAGCAGGGAGCCCAATGCTGGGCTCAATCCCAGGACCCTGGGATCATGACCTGAGCCGAAGGCAGATGCCTAATGACCGAGCCACCCAGGCGCCCCTGTTCCCAAGGCTTTTATTATCCAGTTAGGTTTGATCTGTTTGTGTATGCTACTGGTAGAATACATTTATTAAGTTATACTGCAAGTTCTTTGTTTTCAGAGTCCTATGATTCTCAATAACTTTGTAATGTGTTTCTTCTGTGCAAGTTTCTGAGCCTTACTGAGGAAGATCTAAATAAATTTGAATCCCTCACAATGGGAGCAAAGAAAAAACTCAAGACTCAGCTAGAGCTGGAGAAGTAAGTGTGAAACTGCGAAATGTCTGTTTCTTTTCATTCCTAATGTACTGAATGTGGTATCTAAATGGGGTTTCTCGATTGGATGGAGGCCCCCAAATGTAGGGTGACTGTTGGGTGGCCTGGGAGGTGAAAGAGTTCCCCTGAAGCGGAACAAAGGAGAGTTCATTGAGGAGAGGCTTTCAGCCAGGAGGCAGTGTGTGGGGCTTTATTTAAAGAGGGAAGGTGAGGACGTGTGGAATCTTCCCCCTTTTTGGTAACTGTGCTGGTTGTAAGTATCCCAGTGGTCGTATGGGGCCTAGGGCTATTCTGAGGTGGATCATCTCAGGGGCCTATGTTCAGCCAGGGGGTCGCTCTTAGAGCGCCTCTGCACTGAACAGGTGCTAGCTAGCACTTAGCTAAATGCCCTTGATTGGATTACTTTGATTGCTTATCAGAGCTTCATTAATGCTTTCACAGTTCTAGGATGTGGTTTGGGTGTGCTGGGAAGGGCCGTTTGCGGCAAATCCCACAAGTTAGAATGCATTGCTTTCCACCTCTGAGGGTATTTGGGGGCGGTCACCTTAGTATGGAATCTGTGCAAGAGAGCAGAGCTCGGGCAACAGGAAACGGTTCTCTAGCAGAAGACCTGAACGCTCACTCGTTCACGTGCTCTCTTGTGGCACAGGGAGAAGTCAGAGAAACGGTGCCTGAACCCTGCAGCCCCACCCCCAGTCACCAGCAGCGGAGTGGCCCGCGTCCCCCCCACCAGCCACGTCGGGCCCGTGCAGACCGTGCGAGGCCCCCACGCTGCAGGTGGGTGAGGGCGGGGTGGCCTTGAGGGGGGCATCGCGGGCTCCTCCTTTGGAGGATAGTTATTAGACTCCAGACCACACACAGCCTTTTGCCATTTGCCCATTTTTAGAATTTCCAGTTACTGCTCATTATTTTAGCTTTCATCATTTCCACCATTAGAAAACAGAAGGGACATTTGGTTTAGAACCTAGAGACCGGTGACTCACGTGAAGTTGTTTGGGCAAAAGAATTAGATCCAGCAGCTGCACGGCCAGAGGGAAGGAGAAGGAGGTACCCCAAACAGATGAAGATACGCTTCTTCCCCAGGAGGGTGCAGACAGGTCCTTGTAGGTCCCTGCCTCGAAGGGCTGTCTTGAAACTCCCCAGAGTGCGAGAGCGCAGCGTCCCCGTCGGGCAGCGCCTGGGAGCCGTGGGCCCTGGGCTCTGAGCCGCCCCCCTCCGGAGGCTCCCTGCCCTTGCCTCTGCAGTCGGGGTGCCGGATGCCGGCGACGGCCGGCCCGTGGTTCCCTTTACACTGTGGGAGTAGCAAGAGTGGCAGGACGCCAGGGAGAAAAACATGCCAGTCTTGTCTTTTCAGTGGCTGTTTGACTAAAAGGGTCTTCCATCCCTTGGCCTCGTAAAATGGGGTGTCCCTCAGTGTTGGGAGATGACTTCGGTAGCACCGTGGTGGCTGGGCGCCCCCTTGTCGCTTCTTCTCCAAGGTTGTGAGTGGGGCCTCGGCCAGCTTTGTTTTCTCCGAGTCCTCGGGTCCCGTCTGAAGCAGGAGTGACAGCAGCCGCCTCCCCGGGGCTGGTGCCCGGGTCAGCGGGACGGGCGCGCGCTGAGGCGGGTGGGGAGGGCGCAGTCGACACTGGCCGGCACGACCCCTGTCGGTGCCCCTTTTCCGCAGCGCTGCGGGTAGAAGTGGAGCCGCCCCCTCACCAGACGGCCCGGGAGGGCAGCTCCTCGGAATGCTCCAGCTCCTCACCCAGCCCGATGGGGGTGCAGGCCCGGGAAGAGAGCTCGGACAGCGCCGAGGAGAACGACAGACGTAAGGACGCCCGGCCTGGGAGCGCCCTGCTGCCCCTGCCCTGGCCCGGGGCGCTGTGCTGACCGCTGTGTTTCCGTCTCTAGGTGTGGAGATGCACTTGGAGGGCTCGGAGAAGGAGAAGCCTGTCATGCTACTGAACCATTTTGCTTCAAGTTCCGCCAGACCCACGGCCCAGGTTCTCCCGGTGCAGAACGAGGCAGGCTCCAGTCCAGCGGGCCACCACCCCCTCCCCCCCCAGATGATGGCCGCGGCCTCGCACCTGGCACCCATCCGGATGCTGAATTCTGTGCACAAGTCCGAAAGGGGGGGCGCGGACATGAAGCTCCTCCCGCCGTCCGTGCACTCACTGCTGTCTCTAGAAGAAAGGAGTAAACTCTCGGGACCAAGAGGCGGCATCAAAGTGGACAAGAACTTCGGCCACACAGTGATCGACGCAGCCCCCACGCCCACCCCCCAGCAGCCCCTGCAGGTGCTCTCCGCACTGGCCGAGAGCAGCTCCGTGTCACCCACCGTCTCCTTCGGTCCCCGCGCCAAAGTCGTGCACACGGCTGCGCTGGACAGGGTGATGAAGCCGGCCCCGCAGCCGGCCCTGGCGGGGGAGGCGAGCAGCGCTGCCCCGGGGACGTCCAGCGCCGTCTTCCACGTGGCGCGGCCGCCCATCAAACTTCTGGTGTCTTCATCTGTCCCTGCGGATTCTGCCATTTCTGGGCAAACTCCCTGTTCGAATAATGTGCAAATAAGCGTGCCCCCTGCAATAATAAACCCCCGGACTGCTCTGTACACCAACACCAAAGCTGCCTTCTCTGCGATGAGCAGTGTGCCCGTGGGGCCCCTGCAGGGCAGCTTCTGCGCCAGCAGCAACACTGCCTCCTCCAGCAGCCACCCGCCCACGTCCTTCGCCAGCATGGCCTCCGTGCCCAGCTGCCCGGCCCCCAGCTCCAGCCCCGCGCTCTCCTCGGCCCCTGAAAGCAGCTTCTACAGCGGCGGGGGCGGCGGGGGCGGCGGGGGCGGCGGCTCCCCGGGGAGCCTCCCCGCCCCCGCCCAGAACCACCACCACCACCACCACCATCAGCAGCCGCAGGCGGCGGCGCCCCAGCAGCCCACGCCCGCCCCGCCGCCCGGCTGCGTCGTGTGCACGTCGTGCGGGTGCAGCGGCAGCTGCGGCTCCAGCGGCCTGACCGTCAGCTACGCCAACTACTTCCAGCACCCGTTCTCGGGGCCGTCCGTGTTCCCCTTCCCCTTCCTGCCCTTCAGCCCCGTGTGCGGCAGCGGCTACGTGGGCGCCCAGCAGTACGGCGGCGGCGCCTTCCCCGTGGTGCACTCGCCCTACGGCGGCAGCGCGCCCCCCGAGCCCGTCCTGGGCGGCCAGTCGGCCTTCGGCGTGCCGCCCATGCAGAGCTTCATGGCGGGCGCGGCGGGCGTGTACCAGGCCCCGGGGCTGGTGGGCAGCAGCAACGGCTCCGGCCACAAGAAGAGCGGCAACCTGTCGTGTTACAACTGCGGGGCCACCGGGCACCGCGCTCAGGACTGCAAGCAGCCGTCCATGGACTTCAACCGGCAAGGTAAAGGTGGGCGGCCGCAGCGCGGGCCGCGCCGGGTGGCGGTGCGGCGGCGCGCCCAGCAGAGAGGCGCGCGGAGCTCCCCTCTGTACGAAAACAGTAGTGAACTCGCTGCGCTTTAAAGCAAAAACGAATGTTTTGAATGCTGTTGGGAAAAGCGTGTAGTTCTGGGTGGGCTGTGAAGCCCTCCGAGAGGGTCACTTTGTCTCGAAGCTGTCCGTGGACTGCAGCCTGCTCCTCCTCGCAGAGGGCACCGGCCGGCTGGGGAGAGGGCTCGTGTGGCCCCCGCGTTGGCCGGGGCAGCGCGCGGGGCTGCAAGCCGAGGGCCTGGCGCGGGCGTGCGGATGCTGCGGCCGGCTGTCCTGCGCCCGGTCTCTGCCTCCGTGGTGGTCAGGCCGGTGGAGCGTGGCCGCGCGATGTCACTGTTGGCTGTGCTGCCACGTGCCACCTCCCCGCCCCCCCCACTTCCACTTGCTCTCTTTTGTCTCTAGTCCAGTTCAAGTGTGTATCTGCTGTGGCGGTGACACAAGTTCGTTCTTGCTGGTGGCTTTGGAAGGGAGATTAAACTAGGCAGGAGGAACATCTCTCCCAGCTCTGTGATACGGTGCAGCCTGGACAAGTGCCCTGGTCTCTGTAGATGCCTGATGGTTGCCCCAGACCTGGGATTCCTACACCCGCCTGTGCATCTTGGCCACCCAGAGAGCGTTAGAGACAACTCTGGTGGCAGGTGGGGGTGGCTGTGGGCTGTTCCCACCCTGAGGCTATGTCCTGAAGCAGCGGACCCAGGCCCGTGGTGAGGTTCAGGCGTCCCCAGCCCCCAGCCTGGCCGAGCTCCCGAAGAATAGAGAACCGGACTGGTGACCGGCCGTGTCACCCCTTGCGTTGATCCACTTGTAGTGTCTAGTTTTGGGGGTGGAAGCGAGGAGCTGGGAGTGGGTACAACAGGTAGTCCAGATTTCCAGCACCCGCCTCTTGACCAGTGACTCTGGAAAGAACTTTGGACAGCTCAGTTGTTGGTAGTAATTGCACAGTGATTCAAATTTGATCTCTTTCTCCCCCCTCCCTCTCTCTAGGTACTTTTAGGTTGAAATATGCCCCTCCAGCAGAAAGTCTGGACTCCACAGACTGATATTTTTCTCTGGCAGCAGAACACTATTAAGCCATGGAGACATAAGGAAAATTAAATACAAAACTGAGAAGTCTAGTTGCTGTTGAGCTTAATATTTTTAATCCAAAGGTGCTTTACTTTACTAGACTGGATAGAAAACCTAGCGTAGGAGTGCATCAAACTCAGTTTTATTGCCAAAATCCTAGATTGGAGCTTGACGTCAGGACTCGCCTGGTTGGCGCCTCCACCGTGGTTGTGATGTAGAGACCTCCGTCTCCCGAGGAGCATTGCCGTCATCGGTCCTTCCAGGCTCACACGTAATTCCCGGGCAGCTACGCAAGATCGGAATCGAGAACTGCAGGTTGGAGTTCTCCACGTGGAGTTCCACCAGTCGGACTCTTGATACCCCTGGGTGAGGGAAAATGTCGCCTTTTGTTTTGTTTTGTTTTGTTTTTTGTTTTTTGTTCCTCAAGTGGTTAGACACTAATCTCTCTGGGCTTTTTAAGGATTGCACTCCAGAAGAATGTAAACTGATGTCAATCTCTGCCGCTCGGGGAGACAGACTCCCTGAGACCAGTCAGTGCAGACACTCAGAGAACCCGTTTTTAAGGAGCTGGCACCAGCAGGCTACGTGACTTGGTACACAACAGAGATTTTAGCATTTCTTTCCCTCCTTAAAACACTTGTAGCAGTTTGAAGTTTTTAATTTTTTTTTCTGCGAATAAATTTAAACTACGTTATTAAAAGACATAGTTACTCGCAACAACTTAATATCTAAGGGTCCAAGTCCCAGAGAATCCCTAGTTGTCAGAGCTTTGAGAATCCCTTCCTTCCCGGCCCTTCAGTAGCTTGAAGTCCTGTCATCTTCCACCGCGACAGAGCTCTCACCGAGACATGGTGACCACATGGCCTTCGTGACTGGCTCTGACGGATGCTACACATCCTTAGCAAAGTTGGCAAGTTCTTTTCTCTCTCACGGATCTCCCAAGGACCCCAAGGCTTACTGCTAACGGATTCACACTTGAGACAGACGTTTCAACAATAATACAGTCCTATAATTTATGAGCAAAAGATTTGAAACGTTCTCCTGTCAGCTTCTTTTGTATTAGGCTGTGTATTAGTGGTTAGTTCTGCTAAAAATTACCTGAAAACTACAATAGAAAGTGGTAAGACTCTGAAAGAGCCCACACCAACAGGACAGAGCTACAAGATCTGCAGAAGTCTAGTTTTATCCAAAGTGGGAAGTAAGTCCTCACTATACAGCTCTGTTTCACCCCATTACAATGAAAGCTGCTTGGTCTGAAATTTAGGGACGTAAACCTTTAAAGCCAAAAGGGAATTTTCTGCTCAGATATTATTAACACTAAAGCCTTCAGTATTAAAATGTTGATTGGTAAGGCCTTGCCCAGGGATTCTGCAGTTGAATATTTATTTAAAAAAAAAAATATTCAGAGCTTTCTTAAAATGGGACAATCAGCCTCATGCCGAATTGGTGTAAATCAAAAAGAATACCCTAGAATTTGAGGCACTGTGATGTGAGGCTTCAAATTTTATGATCAGTTTCCTAGCGGAAACTAAGGCAGAGTTACTTTTTTTTTTTTATGACAGGCTTTTAGTAGAGTTTTCTAGAGTTTTATTTTAGTAGAGTTTCATTTCTATGCAATGCAGAATTGACAGACCTCTGTATGCTTCTCTCTCTTCCTGGTACACAGTATTATATACAGTTTTGAAGTGATGGTGATGCTTACAACAACTTTTTGGGGGAATGTTACATTGATCTCTTAATTATAAAACACTACAAAATGTCAAAATAATGAGAACTGACACAACTTTGCCTTAAAGAGTACGAGCCTGGAACTTGTCATATGATGTTAAAGGAAGACTTGGGAGTGTCCACTGATGTTTACGATTTTAATATTTCTGAAGGCCGTTACGGTGGCCTGGACATGTGCTGAAAGCCAAACTTTTAAATTTTTTGGTTTTTTAAACAAAGAAATATTTTAAATAAATCCTATTTCAACACAGTGAAATTGTTGAAAACTGTCTCATAACAAAAGAAAAAAAATCATATTTAGGGTTTTTGTTTTAGTGGTCAGTATTGGGGAATGAAAGTGTCTGTTGTTACCCTTATGACTATTTTGATAAATATTAGAGGTTAGTGTGTTCCAGTCAACAAAAAATTAAAATAGCTTCGATTTGAAGTAGGACATTCAGATTGAGGTAAATAAGTCCAGACATTGTGTGGCTGTGTTCCAGTCATCAAAGGTCTTAGAAAAATTCCCACTTGTCTTTGAAAGTGCATGTGCGGTGTGATGTCTCCAGTGAGGCCATTCCAAGGGTGAGAATTGTAAAACGTAATCGTGAGGTACACGGGACACAGAGCATCCAGCTGCCGATCTGTGAGACTCTTCCCAAGTGAATACTGGGACTTGGGAGTGTTTGCTGGCAGTGTAATCTCTGATAAATTTCTCTCCAAAAGCAACCAAAGTCAGTAAGCCTGAAGAGCATTTTGCATTTCCTCAGATGGCCTCATCTTCTTAGAAACACAGATCTGACTGACCCTTTCAACCATGTAGTCATTTTCCTGAAATCATGGGCTCGGTTTGCAAATGCTGTAGCAACCAGGTAGGTGTGGCACAGCCACTTTGCTCTGTGTAGTCTGTCGTATTTCAAAGTTTCTATCCCCATTTTCTGTCTCCCAAGAATGGGGGAAGTGGAATGTACAGATTGAAGTAGAATACAGTGTTGGGATAAAACAACTATTTAATTTTTTTTTTTTAAGCAAACAATTTTCTACCTTCTTTTCTTGGTAATATTGAAAATTGGAAAAGTGTTTAAATGTTAAAACTCGTAATTGCTAGTGAGCACTGAGGAAATGGGAGCTAGCACTTAACAACAAAACTATTTTCTTCAAAGCAGGTATGTGTGATTGGGTATTAAAAAACAAACAAAAGAAAAAGCCAACCAGCATCACCTATAATCTCCAGATTACGGGAGTCGGCTTGTGAATATAGTAGTTAGTAGGGTCCGTGTTCTAATTCCCTCTTTAGAAGTCACTGTAGCTAGTTTGCACTACACCGTGTGGAGGTGCGGAGCAGCGGCAGCGACTCTGCCCAGCGTCACACAGCAACTGCAGCTCGTCCCAGGCGGAGCGCCAGCCGATCGAATCTGCCTGGATTCTGCCCGGGGCCGCCCTGGCCTCGCTCCAGTGTTGCTGGAGAGCGCTGGCCCAGCGCAATCAGGTTGCACCCTCCTCACTCCCTATCATTTTGTACTCTTCTTGCTTCTGTGATGGGTTATTTGATGCCTTGCTAGTTTTACATACTGGTTACTGGTGGCGTATATATTGAGTCTTAAGGATGGTAAGGGAAACCGTGTCCTTCCCAGAGGATGGGCCTGTGGAACCTGAGCAGGCGGGCGTCCTTTCCAAAGTGCAGGTGACGTTGAAAGCCGTGGGTTCTGGAGAGGCTCAGTTTGCAAAGTCCTGAGGTTCTGAATGAAGAAATTCTTTTAATCAGCACTCGCAAAACCACATACTTGCTGGTTGAGGCCAAAGGTCAACTTGACTACACTGTTCTGGGGGGAGGGGAGCTCAGTGTGGCTCATCAGTCAGTCCCGGGGATTGTAACAAGCCCCTCACATACATTAAGTTCTTACATGCACAATGAAGGCTTTGGTACTGAAACCAGAGACCTCGTGTATTCGAGAATCTTCACAGCTTATATTGGACAGATTTTCTTTTTAGGAATGAAGGAAAATTCTCCCATTTTTGAGCCATTCTTTTATGTCAATTCTACAAAATTGCATGTAACTTTATAAATATTTTTAAAAGATATAGTTTTGTAAATATTTAATATTCTGCTAATTTGATTTTGAATTGTAAATGTTAAGTATTGTTTTTGAAGTTTTTATGTTTTATTATACTTTGTTAAAAAGGAAAAATTGTACATTTTTAGAATGTTTTTATGAGTAAATTTAATGTACTGAAAATAAAAATTAAAAAAATCTGTTTCATTTTATTAGGTCTTTGTCTCATAGAATATGAAGCACACATCTTTTCAAATAAATTGCAATTCTTGATCTGCAAACTAGGGAGTCAACCCTTTCTGCCCTCTCCACTTGACAAAAGAGATACATGGTTTTAAATCCATTTTCTATCCAGTTTCCCGGGTTTTAAAAAATATCCTTGCTATGACCAGAAACATTAACTCTTGGTTTGGGATGTTCCAGCTCTAGGTTCCCTAAGAAATCAAGACTGGCACGAATTGATGTCAAGTTTCTTTGGAACGTCTCCATAAACAACGTGGTACGACATGGTATGAACGTGCCCTGGCATTTCTGGATTTGGAATGGCGGTGGTCCGGTGAGCACAAGCTGGCCCAGGACTGTGGTGTTCTCATGAGCAGCGCCAGGCACCAGAAGGAGAAACCTGGTGCTTTTTCCCCAACAGAGGTCCCCAGGGCCTCTTGGTCTTGTCAGGCCTGTGGCCACCCCGAGGAAACTGTTCATGCACACACAGTTCCAGCCATCAGGGTTCCTGTCGGGAGACACGCAACTGGCCCATACTTGGGGCCGACGGCAGCCCCTCTGACTTGCTGTTCGGTCAGGCCAGGCTTACGCCAGAGCAACAGACGCGGGGAAGCAGAACATGTCCTCATCTTGCTCCCTGGATCCTTCCACAAAAACATTTTAAGTGCCTGCTTAAATTTGGAACGGGCGCAGTTTCTCAAATGAGGAATGCTGGCCACTACTCGGCCGATGTTTGTACTGTGTCTTTCCCTGATGCAGCACGAGGTACCACAAACCACGTAATGCCTCCTTGACCACTCAACACACTCTCAAAACACCTGCTGTGTTTTACTTTTTCATTTGTAGTGGCAGGTTTTCAAGTGTGGATTCCCACAAACACCCAGGTCTCACGTCCATCCATCCTCTTTGTGCCTTGTACTTCTCAGGAGAGTTTACTTGTGCAGAGACAAGACCAGCTGGCGGAACCTTGACCGAGGTGAGGAAGGTGCCTGGGACCAGGCAGAGACCTTCCGAGGTGGGTGCCCCTCTGCCCCCCACCCCCACTGCCACCACCCCCCGGGCTTGGGAGAGTAGAGCGTAGACAGCATTGTCAAGTATCAAATACCGATCCATTAAATTGAGCTTCATGAGTTTTTAGTTGTGCCTTTATTCACCTTAGTTCATTAGAAATGTACTTGGTTTAGAGATCCTAGTGACCACCCACTCATGTGGGATCAGAAGTCACCCCTCTCTGCCTGGTACTTTTTTTAAAAAGCAGAATTTCTTCTAGGAATCTTACTGATCACACAGTAGTTACAAGAATGTCAGATATAATGATGTATACAATCTAAACAAGACAGGCCGATTAAGAATTTACATTATGTAAAAACACATATTAAAAGTTAGCCGTGTGGACAGATGCATGCAGCGGGAAGAGCAGTTGAAGGTTAGGGGTCAAGTGCCCATATGCGGTACTATTGCTTCCCCCGCCTCCGTTAATAAGTAACTTCCACTAACAGGTACAACAGGTATACCACACACACCTAACTACACAAAGGTGAATCATGACCTGCTACAGTACAGTCTAAAGTGGTCTGTGATCTTTCTGTGCTACTCCCACAAAAACAGTAAAGAGTAAACCCCATGCAGGTAGTAGGAAGCGTTGGTTATTCTAGTTGAACTCGGAAAATGTTTAACTTCTGACATGAGTATCTGTGAAGAGCACTAGGTCTCCTTTTGCTACTGTTTTCTTCACAACTGACATGCACTCGGGAGTGGAGGAACTTTGATGGTTGGTTGACCTACAAAGACAACTGAAATATTCTTAAAAATGTAACTTTTTAATAAGAGTCACACATTTAACATAAAACATGGATCATCTACAGCTTTAGGCCAAAAGGTAGAGGGAGTGCATCTGAATTTTAATGCTTTAGTTTCCGTGTTCTGTAGTTTCTAACACTGTAGTTAAGGAATGAAACGGATAGAACAGCTTGTTTCTTTACCAAAGCGGACAGCAGTTTGACTTCTTAGAGAATATACAAACCAGGAGAAACGTCACATGTTCTTTCTCTGGGCCCTCTGAGAAACTAGACCAAAATTTTAAATTATTCAAGGTTCTTACTGAGTAGTGGTGCTTTTCTGTTATCGTCGAGAGAAGCAAACAAGAACTCGCCAGCTCTCAGGCTCACAGGACGCGTACACGAGCTGGAACCTTGAGCAGCAGTTCAGAGTTTTCCTACCCCCATTTTCCCAGCTTTTTGCCAATGATTATAGCAAATGGGAGGGGCGGGGGACCACTATGCTTGACAACTTAAAGATCCCCTTACAGGTATTTCCCCAGTTGAATAGAAACCCTTCTACAAAAAGTTGGCTGGTTCAGTGAACCTCGTAAAGAATGTCTCTCTGAATGCTTAAATTGCAGGTTCCTAATAGGGAAGGAGCATTAAAATAATGTGAAGGTCTATTTTATTGGCAACTTAGAATGCAAAGTATTTTATTTTTAAACTTCTAAATTTGAAAACAAAACAGCCTAGGTTAAATCACGTAGTTTTCCAAAGCTGAATGTGCTCATTTGGAGCTCACTTTTTCTGCTTACAGTACAAAACAACTTCCTAAAACTCCTAGGCAGGAACACTACTGTTTTGATGATCTGTGATTGGATGAACTCATCAATTTCAGTTGGTAATATCCCTTTTTTTCTCCTTGGTAAGGGTTTAAAAAAATTCAAGGACAGATGCATTTTTCTAGTCTTACACAGACAGTTTCACTCCAAATGTCTCCTGAGAAGCGTACACCATATACAGGAATCCGTCTTCGTCCTTCTCACTTCCATACACTTCAGAAATCGGTGTGGACACACTCACCATGCTGTGTCCATTCACTAGCAGGAAGAAGGCCTGGTTGGCGTTGAGCTGTAAGCGTCTCCTATTGAAAGAGGACACATCAATATGCAGGGGACATGGAAAAATATCACCCACCCCCACTGATAGAAAAGTATAAAGTTTTTGTGAATGCTGCTTCTGGCAAAATAATGTGTGTGCCTACTGATGATGACTCTCCTAACTAAAACTTTTCATAAAGCACAGGACATTTCCTAGGATTACATTCATGACTGGTATTAGTGGTAATTCTTAGTAGATTATTCTTACTGTATTATCTCCTACGGTATTCCCCGGGCCAGTTTTAAATTAGTATGCTCTCTGAACAGCCATTAGTGTCTAATGAGAGAAACAGCTCAAACTATAATTTACAAACTATTTATTACCATTTCACCAAGTCTACATTATCTTTTACTAATTCTGACATACAAAACTTGTAAACTTTTCTGATTAAGAGACATCTGGGGGCGCCTGGGTGGCTCAGTTAAGCATCTGCCTTCGGCTCGGGTCATGATCCCAGGGTCCCAGGATCGAGCCCCGCATCGGGCTCCCTGCTCAGCAGGGAGCCTGCTTCTCCCTCTCTTTGCCTGCCGCTCTGCCTACTTGTGTGCGCTCTCTCTCTCTGTCAAATAAATAAAATCGTTAAGAGAGAGACGACGTCTACACTAGATGTTATGATGAAAGAATCAGAGGAACAGGAAATCCAGCAGATAAGAAAGAAAACTCAGGAAGGATGGAAACATCTTTAGGTTTTATTAAGCTTGCAAAGATGTTAGTCAGAACTAAAGATTTATCTGTAAGTCTGATACAGAATGAGCAGTTACCCAAAGAAATAGAAAAAAAAAGGCGATTAAATACCTAATGATCTTGATGAGCTCACTCATGTTGACATGATCAGGTACAAGGAATTTGGTTTTGTCCAGGACAGGAAGTTGCTTCTCACCCTTGTACCGTTCTATTATCACCTAGAAAAGCAGCCAGACGAGAGAGATTTTAAAATGACCGTTGACAACGAAGAGATGAAATACTTCCTATGTTGTAACTGGCACATACCAAAACGGGGTTTGAAATAGAAACAGCACATTTGTTAGTTTCCCCACAGATCTCCTGTGAATAGTGATCAATTATTAGCTTAGACTCTATCCCTTACAGAATATAGTACACAAGACAAATTGGCTGCCTCCAGGGAGGTGAGCAGGGTGGTGAAAGAATTTTGCTATATATTCTTTTTGTTATTTGAAACCATGAAAATATACCAACTAGTCAGAAAAGAGCAGATGCTAGGTACCAGCTTAGAGTGTAAGCTCTGAATCTATGTCAATTGCAATACCACGATTTCCTCTGAAATGTGTGAGATCTTAATTACAGTAATATACTCAAATGTCTGTTTCACACTAGACTGGTTTCTCTACTTGATATGGAAAAAGTCCTAAGTAAATAGCTGATAAGTAGAGACAATGATCAGCTGGCTCTGGAGACAAATTTTGCGCAGAAAGACCTGAAGATGCTTTCATTTTGACAAAATACTCCTATTTCTTCAATGAGTTTTAAGAGTCAGGAATCTTGTACTATGCAGGGAACAAAAATAGTTCCACATCATGAACCGAAATAAATTCATTAGCTCCTTGCCATACTTCCTTTCCACAGAGGACAAACAATTTCTCCCCTAGTTCTAAGCCACCACAAAAGCTGGCCAGAGTGCTGACTGCCTGTGCCTCATCATCTTCTGAGTACCACACACTCTTCTCCAGGTAAAGCAACTCTCTACCCTGCCACAACAACGAGAAGCTGAGAGACAGAAATGGAGAGAGAGGAATGGAAATCTCTGCATAATGTTTCCCTAGAAAGGGGGAAGATACTTGTCTGTACATTGTTCCACTATATATGGGACTCACATGGGTTCTGTGTAGGGCCAAATCAAACTGCTATTCCCTTCCTTGTTAAGATCAAGAACTTTTATCCATGGGGTGTGTTCAGAACACGGTAGCCACAAGGGAGAATCAGTAGGTTAAGACTACTTTTGCCTGGGTTTGACTAGCAGCAGAGATCAGAGGCAATGCAGAAATCTTTTATTTTTTCCCCAAAGATTTATTTATTTGACAGAGAGCCAGCGAGCAAGAGTAGGAA